CACTTTGGAAACCGATATGGCACTTCCATAAAAAGCTAGAAAAAGAAATACCATATGATCCAGCAATCCCGTTCCTAGGAATATACCCTAGAGAAATAAGAGCTGTTACATGAACAGACGTATGCACACCCATGTTCATTGCAACTCTATTCACAATAACAAAAAGATGGAAACAACCTAAATGACCATCAACAGATGAATGGATAAACGAATTATGGTACATACACACAATGGAATACTATACAATGATAAGTAACAATGATGAATCCGAGAAACATTGCACAACGTGGATGAATCTGGACAGCATTATGCTGAGTGAAATAAATCAGTTAGAAAAGGACAAATATTTTATGAGACCACTATTACAAGAACTCAGGAAAATGTTTACACATAGAAAAGAAGCATTCTTTGATAGTTACAAGGGTGGGGAGGGAGAGGGAGAGGAAATCCCTAACTAGATAGTAGAAAAGTACCAACTTCAATGAAGGGAAGGACAACACACGATACAGGGGAAGTCAGCACAACCAGACCAAAGCAAAAGCCAAGAAGTTTCCTAGATACATCCAAACACTTTGACGGACACAGTAGCTGGGGCTGGGGTCTGGGAACCATAGTTTTGGGGGACATCTAGGTCAATTGGCATAACATAGCTTATAATGAAAATGTTCTACATCCCACTTTGGTGAGTAGCATCTGGGGTCCTAAAAGCATGGGAGAGGCCATATAAGATACATCTATTGGTCTCATCCTACTCAGAGCAAAGCAGAATGAAGACACAAGGAATATACTAGCCCAAAGGACTAAAAAACCAAATGAACCAAAGACTCCACCAGCCTGAGACCAGAAGAACTAGATGGTTCCTGGATACCGCCAACGACTGCCCTGACAGGAACATGCTAGAGAGTCCCGGACGGAGCAGGAGAAAAATGTAGAACATAATTCAAATTCACATAAAAAGATCAGACTTAAGACTTTGACAGAGACTGGAGGAACCACCGAAACTATGGCCCCTGGACACTCTGTTAACCCAGAACCAAAACCATTCATGAAGCCCACTCTTCAGACAGACATTAGACAGATTAGATTTTTTTTATAAAACAAAAAATAATACACATGAGGTACGTGCATCTTAGTACAATCAACTATACAAGACCAAATGGGCAGCTCCTGTCCAAAAGCAGGATGACAAGGCAGGAAAGGACAGGAACTGGATAAATGGACGCAGGGAACTGAGGATGGAAATGGGGAGTGTGCTGTTACATTGTGGGGACTGCAACCAATGTCACAAAACAATAT